CAAAATTATTATAATGACTTTTCTTTGACAAAATTGCCTTCCTTTTTGGGGGACATAGCTGGGCTATGTGAAGCTTTACAAATTAAATATAATTTGACTCACATTAAAAAACGTTTTGATATGGAAAGTACAGTACAAAATATCAGATTTCATACTGAAGGATTATAGAGAGAATAAATTTGATCTGTTCACATTAAAAATTTATATAAAATATCTTTCAAATGCACATAGTAACTCTACTTTAACTGTACAAATAATCCAGAAGACCTCGACTTTGCTATTTCAGTTAAATTACTGATTCTGATCTAGTAATAATTATAATTATGGAAAAAGAAAATATTCTGCATGTACTCTACCCCTTAAGATTCTGTCTGATATGGTTGAAAGAATTGAGTTAAAAGACAAAGCAAATCTGTCTTCAAATATAAATAAATTATAAAATTCCCTTTATTTTTTTTTCTTTTTAATCCTCACTGGAGGACACGCTTTAGAGATGGGGGTGGGGTGGGGGGAGAGAAACATCAATCAGTTGTCCTCTGTATACACCCCTACTGAGGATTGAACCCACAACCCAAGTATGTGCCTCGACAAGGAATCGAACTTTCCATCTTTCAGTGCGTGGGATTGATGCTTCAACCAACTGAGCCACTCCAGCCAAGCTTTTAAAAATCTGATTTGGTGCTATAATGAAAATGATCTTATATAAGTTGAAATTCTGTAATGAAAAAGTATCTAATTTCTAGCTTTTGCTTTGATTATATTTAATTAAATGAGGCTAAATTTCCTTATATCAGCTTTAATGTATTAGATTTAAATTTATTTTTTAGGTAGCCAGTGCAAGTAAGACACAAGACCCAGTTTATTTACTGAAATATCTATAAGTAGAATCATCTTTTTAACATTTTTTCTTCCTTCTTTTGATTCCTTTGCCTTGGTTTATAAAGATGACAAGGCAAAAAGGAGGGAAAATATCAATGTTAATGTTAACCAAAGTGATATATATTATTGATATTGGTTAGGACTAGATGGAGAGATGATATTTTAAGAAATCAGATAAATGAGTACTAATGCTTTATATGTAGCACTTTTCTGTTTAGAAAAGTCACATTTAATCACTCAGACTCTCTAAAAATCCTCCGAGATAAACATGTTCTTTTTATAAAATAGGCAACAAACTCTGACCCTGGTGACAGAACCATGATTCATACCCAAGTCTTGTGACAGGACCATAATTCATATGCTCAAGTCCTGCTCCAACCATCATTCTCTTCTTAGTCAGGTGACCGTTAAAACACTGACTTAAGTCTAGTCCAAGAGAGCTTAGTCATGAGTAGCCAAATGACTTTGTGACTTAATTTTATGATGTTCTCTGAAGACAGTGTTACTAATCATAAATAAAATGTGAAGTGATGATGTGCTAATCTGTTGTAGTCAATGCATTTTGTGTTCAGTTTTGATTTTAAATCAAGTGGTGAAGGTCATGGTGCCATCTCTAGGCATTACTGAGAAGAGGCTCTGATGTGGCAGGTTTTAGGGTGTCATCTTTTCAGAGTAACTCTCCCCTAAACTAGACTAAATCTCAAACTAAAACTAGATATTGCTCAACCTGAAAGTGTACCTACTGCCTTATCTCTCTCTCTCTCTCTTTTTAACTTCCAAAGTATTTTTTTGGCATGTATTTCACAGGGATATTGTATTTGGCTAAAAACCCATTTCTGAATAACCATGTTTTTGCCTGCCCATATAAATACAGTTCTGATTTCAAATTGTGGTTTGAGTTAGTGTTCAGTTTTTGTGGAGAAATATTCAGAATCTCTGATGGGAGGAGATCAGGGTGCCTGGAGAGAGAGACAGTCTGTAGGGACCTTTGAAGTCTGTGCTTTTCTAAACCTTTCCTAGTTCATACCAGCCTTCCAGCCTCTTCCCCCAAATTCTGAAGTTTTTATCTGGACTCAAATATCAGAACACATTTAAACTACTGCTTGGATTTGAAACAGCCCTGTGATGCCTACGAGGAGATGCAGCTATCAGTTCTCCATCACATTAGCTCAGGACTAGCTTGGATTCTGGTAGTGAGTGTAAGAAATGTTTACCCTGATATTTTGGCTTTAAGGACGCTTTGACCCTACCTTCCAGAACACAGATTTTTTATCAATTTTATAACAACATTAATGAATTTTCATTAAAATTTTTTTGACAAACTCTAAGACAAATTTCTTGATCAGTTTTTCATAAAACAAACTTATATTTTTCTAATTTACCTTAGTAAAGTCATTTTTATCGGAATCCGCTCTTTGCTTTGTGAATTTTACTCTGAGTATGTCTATCATTCAGTTTTATCTTTTATTTTTAAATAAGAGACAGTATATATAGTGGTTATATCCTGGTTATGCTCTAAAGCAGTGCTGTCAAAAAAATAATGCAAGCCACATGTATAATTTAAAATTTCTTAGTAACTACATTAAAAAGGTAGTTAATTTTAGTACTATATTTTATGTAACCCGGTATGTCAGGAATATCATTTTGACATGTAATCAATATAAAAATTATTAATTTTAGAAGAAAGTAGATAGGAGAAGGGAATCCTAGAGAGGAAGGAAGGGTAGGGTCAGGATAAGTTTGATCTTTTCTCTGCTACCTCTCTTCACCTTGGGGAGGAGAGAAAGCAGAGACTGCGCCCCTCTTGACTCTGGCTCTGGTTTTAGCTTGTGAGTGGAATGGTTAATTCACAATGGTTAAGTTACTTCTGTTCTCCTCTGAGTAGCTGAGAGTTCTATTTATATTCAGAATGTAGTACTAGAAAAGCCCAAAGAACACCATGTGTTCATAGTATATATGTGCACATTAAGAATCCAGAATGTCTTTTGCTGGCTCCAGCTTTAAAAATAGTCTTGTGTGTGTTCTCTCTCTCTCTCTCTCTCTCTCTCTCTCCCCCCCTCTCTCTCCTTTCCCCCCCCTCTCTCCGAAATTAAATTTCTTACTGGAAAGAAAGAAAACTGTAGTAAATTTTCCGAGCACAAACCTCACTTTTATAATATAGTTATGACAACCATCTCTGTTTTGGTAAAGTTAGCCTATTATATGAATTATATTTTGCAATTTAGAAAACCTATTAGGCATTGCAAACAGTTAAACTGGATATTTTCTATATATATTTAGTACTATATGTAAGTCTGAAGTTCAGTCATTGTCCCGACAGATGAAAACAGAAAGGAAATGGACTTGGCTCAATCTGTAAGTTCAGAGGAAACTTCTTTGAGGAAGTAACCTGGGAACTAAGACGTGAAGGGTGGCAAGGGGGTTATCGGTAGTGCCAATGGAAAAGAGCTTTTCAGGCAGACAAAAATCATTTACAGAAGTCTTGCAGTGGGCATTGGAAGTCCATAATAAACCATACTTTTAAAATATATATATATATATATTATTGCTTTCAGAGAGAAGGGAGAGGAAGAGAGAGATACAAACATCAATGATGAGAGAGAATCATTGATTAGCTGATTCCTGCACATTCCACACTGAAGATTGAGCCTGAAGCCTGGACATATGTGCCCTGACTGGGACTCTATTTCAGTGAAATTAGATTTAACTAATTTAAAAGCCATACTTTTATAGTCAATAGGTTTTCAACAGGCGTGCCAAAAGAATAGTTTTCAACACATGGTACTAGGACAACGATTTCCACATACACAAGAACAAAGTTGGACCCCTACCTTACACCATGCACAAAAATAACTCAAAATTGGTCCTAGACCTACATTTTAGACTTAAAACTGTAAAAGTCTTAGAACAAAACATTGTACTAAATCTTTGTGATGTTGAGTCAGGCAACAGTTTCTTCACTATGAAAGCACAAGCAACAACAAAAAAAATTAATTGGGAGTTCAACAAAACTAAAAACTTTTGTACTTCAAGTGATACCATCAAGAAAGTGAAATGACATGACAGCCCACAGAGTGGGAGAAAGTATTTGCAAGTCATATCTCTGATAAGGGAACTTGTATCCAGCTACTACTAGGAAAATGCAGCATAACTCAAAGAGTAGGTTTGTGGAAAGAGGTCAGAGTGTAGTGTGTGGATGTGTTTCTTAATTTGAAAAATGGAGCTCTGTGGCAAAGCAGTCTTCATTTCTTTCAGGATGAAATGTGCAATGTAGCTTGAGGTTAATAAGCAGCTCCTTCAGCTCAGACTCTTCATTTCTGAGGTAATAGGTGTAAACCCCATGGGTTTGGCTGAGAGTTCCTTAGTCTAGGAATTCTTGGCCCTCTAGCATGCTTGGATTTATGAACAGAGTATTGTTTCCTGTTGAAATTCTAGACTTTGCTTTTAATACTGCTCAAATTCGAACTATTCCACCAACATTTTACAGATTCTGCTTTCTTTTAAAATAAGAATTTGAAAATAAAAGAGTCCAAACATCCTTCTGAGTCAGTCATAAATTATAGTATTTTGATTAGTATGTTAGAATCAGTGATATGAATTGTATTTTGCAATTTTTTAACTCCAGAATTTGCCGTATCAGCTACATCCCGAGCTGTGGTCTTAGTTGTGTTAGATACTTTTCTTAGCTCACGAAAAGCAGAGTTTAGCCAGGAAAATGGAAAAAGGAAAAATCTAAAATTGTCCTTTCCATTTCTTCCCATTAATGAGGGCTCTGGAAACGTTTCCTGCGAGGAAGCAGTGGGGAAAATCTCTTCTTTGCTATTAAGCTTCTGAAGCGAAGGAAAATCTTTTTCTTTGATTTTTATATTTTCTGCTAAAGAATTGATTACTTTATTGGGGGTAAACCGTGTGAATAAATGCATACCCTAGCTTCCAGGTAGATTCTCTACCAGCAAACCTAGTCCACTAAACCAAAGAAGAGATGAAATGGAAGTAATTGAATATTCCTAATTAAAATAAGTACATATATTCAGAATTCACAGCAAAGATGTCTTAAATCTCGTAACATATTCACCCAGATTGTTTTAATCAGTTAATGACTATCTTTATTCACATGTTTTAAAACAGATGAGCTCCGACAAGAAATGCTGGATGATGTACAAAAGAAACTGATGAACTTAGTCAACAGCACAGAAGGAAAAGTAGACAAGTATGCTCTGCCTTTTTACTTTTATGTACTTTATGAAGACTACTTTTGTGGTAAAATTTCTAAACGTAGATGTTTATATGTAATTAGGTTTTTAAAAAGAATCTTTTCTTTTTCTTATACAGTGATGAGATATAGGCAGTTTTAATGAGATAGTAGAATAGCTTCTCTTCTTTTGGCTGTTATTTATTTTTCTTAGAATATGTTTTTATTGATTTGAGAGAGAAGGAGAGAGAGATAGAAATATCAGTGAGAAACATCAACCGGCTGCCTCCTGCATGCCCCTCACTGGGGATTGAGAGTGTAACTCGGACATGTGTTCTGACCAGGAATCAAACCATGACTTCCTGGTTCATAGGCCGATGCTCAACCATTGAGCCATGCTTACTGGACTTCTCTTGGCTTTTAAATAAATTTTTCCAGCTCAAATTCTTTTTCTTAAAACTATATGGAAAAGTTACAGTAGTACCATAACTAGAAAATAAAAAGTTTATTCTTACCATTCTTTTTTTTTTAAGTTTTTTTTAATTGAATTTTAAAGAGAGGAAGGGAGAGGAAGAGAGAAAGAGAAACATTCATGGCTGCCTCCTGCACACCCTCTCCTGGGGATCGAGCCCAAAACCTGAGCATATGCCCTGACCAAGAATTGTCCCGTACGATCTTTTAGTGCATGGGACGACACCCTGAGCCACACCAGTCAGGGCTTTTTTGCTCTTTGTACTGTTCATAAATGAACATATTTTGCTCAAATGTATTAGATCTGAAATTTAAGTATATATGTAGTAAATCATTAAAATTTTAAAGATTTCCATATTATTAGCAAATTTTTAATAAGTGTGCATGGGGAAATATAAGCATAGCCATGGAGCACATGAACTGTCATCACCATTTAAGGTGGGGTGGGAAAAATCTGAAGTGTCTCCTTAAGGTTGACATTAATGCAGATAGGCACTGAGTGTTACTAATGGTCACCATCTCAGTTGATTGATTGGTTGAAGAAAGTGGTTTCATAATACCTGATGTTTTCTGGGTATACGTTTTGGGTTGTTTGAAATATTCTTAATTAGACACATCAAAAATTTTTAAATGCTACTTTAAAATATGCTTAGTGTTTTTTATAATTAAGTATTGTTTAAGTCTAATTAAATATTTGTATGTTTAGCACGTATTTATTATTTCGGTACACTAAATATTGGGAGAGCTTGTGCAGCGGTTCTCAACCTGTGGGTCGCGACCATCGGAAAACACATATAGCATATCAGATATTTACATTACGATTCATAACAGTAGCAGAATTACAGTTATGAAGTAGCAACGAAAATAATTTTATGGTTGGGGGTCACCACAACATGAAGAACTGTATTAAAGGGTCACGGCAGTAGGAAGGTTGAGAACCACTGTGAGTAAGCTGAGCTGTTTCTGCCTTCATTTCCATAGAATCCTAATGAGAAACCTCTTCATTGGACATTTCCATACACCAAAGAACCAGCGTCATGAAGTGTTACGATTAATGGGAAGCATTCTGGGTATCAAAAGGGAGGATATGGAGCAGGTAACTGAATAATAAAAGCCATTCGGAATACATTTATAACTAAAGTAGTGGCATCAGATAAAATTTTCTTTTACTGTATATTATATAACTTTTCCTGAATACATTTTTTTCAATAATTTGGAAATGGAATAATTTCATACTATAGTGAAGGAGTGGACTTGTGCAATTTGTATATCAGTTTAAATATTTTGTAACTTATACACCACCCCTCTTATCAGAATGCTGAAATTTTGATAGTCCTCAACTGTTATCCAAGATAGTGTTTGGGAGGACATTTCATTGTATTTGTAGCTTCTCTCACTAAGAAACATTTGCTAAGAATTGGACTTGAAATATGGTTCTTATTTTTTCTTTTCTTGTACTGATAACACTTTTCTGTTTTAAAATAATTTTTCAGTTGTTGAATGAAGATCAGGGTGGAGTTACCAGATGGATGACTGGGTGGCTTGGAGGAGGATCAAAAAGTGTCCCCAACACACCTCTGAGACCAAATCAGCAATCTGTGTTTAATAGTGTAAGAGCTGATTTTATTTTTGCTGAATATGAGTGGTCAGATGATAGCACATCACATTCATTGGCAAGAATCAGGTTTCTCTTTTAGGTGGTTTTACACAGTCCTTTTATTTTGAAGTTGTAGAAACAGATCCAGCGATGTAACTAGCTTAAGGATAATAAGCCAGGTTTAATAAGTTTATTGCGTATAGGTTTTATTTTTTATTACTTATATAATACTTCTATTTTTAAAAGTATTCTTCCTTTATTTGTATTTGATCATAATTCTATAGGCACACAATCATTTGTCTTACTACTATATTATGAGATTCTTAAGATGGAAGCTTTCTTTTAGGCATGTATGTATCTACCTGGTCATGGAGCCAGTGAGTACTTATTGAGCACCTGCTGTGTACCCAGCTGTTCTAAGCATTGAGAATGTTAAGCATTGGGGATGCAGCAGCAAACCAGATATAGTGCCTCCCTCAACGAACTTCCTCTGGTTGGAGAAGGCAGATAGTTAATAAACAGGAAAAATAGCGCCTGTTATGTAGTAGGCTGATTGAATTGAGTAGCACTGTGAGTTAGAATGTGGAGTTTATTTCTCTTTTATTTTTTTAATGAAGAGGAAACTGAGGATAGGTGATCTACCCACAACTCGATAAAGATAAAACCCTGTTTAAAATGGGATGGCCTAAAGTTTAAAGGAAAGGTCTGCACTACATTATTTTAATCTAATAAACTTACTGGTGAACTTTTGCTATATTCATTGATTGTGTGTTACTTTAGAAGAATGAGTTTAATATTTGTTTTCTGTCAATACAAATTTTCATGTGTATGTAAACAGTTATTAAAATGATTTAAGAAATCTAAGTGGCTAATTCTAACCATAGGTTTGTGAAGTGTTGTCATTAAAAATTACTATGTTGAAGTTTTTACTTGATACCTCTGTCACTGAAGTGCTAGCACTTTTTTTTTCCTGAACCCAGGAAAGGATAATTGCTCATACATGTTATTGGCTACAAATGTCAGGCCCCATTTTAAGTGCTTCTCATGTTTTATTTTCCCAACAACTTATATGCACCGTCACTAAAACTCACTTTTCAGGTCAGAAACAGGCAGGTTAAATGCATCTAAGACTACACTGACAGTTAAATGGCAGAGACTCAGGATTTGAACACTTTCTGCCTCCTGAGAATATATGATTCACAGTAACTGCCCTCTGAAATAATTACAATATTACCATACTAGACCCTCACCCAACTTCCACTAAGTCAATAGTGATCCACTTATTATTCTCATAGCATCCAATTTTATGTGCAGAATGACATATATCCATTTGCACAACTGCCACAAAAACTGTTAGGTGACATGTTCACCCTTAATGGAGTTGTGCTAGAACTATCAGACCAGTTTTTCTGATCTCTTCCCCTCCAAGACCTGGGAATTATAATTTTATGTGTCTCAGGCATGAAACAGGTCTGGCCACCAATACAGGCATCAAGCTAGAGTGAACTAAGGACTGTACATCTGCCTTGCCCCTGACTGATATAAGAGCAACACCACCAATCAGGTGTCTCCTTGCCCATTGCCAGGGGGTTAAAGTGCTAGCATTTTAATTATTCACAAAGCTTATAAAGAAACTAGAGGTCCAGTGCATGGATTTGTGCACATTGAAAGGAAGTTAATTAGAAAGTGGCCAGACATGCCCCGTAGCCAACCTCCTGCAGTCCCTCCCTGACCAGCTGCACTTGGGGCGATGCCGGGGCTCGAAGGGCGTCTGCGGAGTGAGCGGGGTCCCTCTGGCAGGTGGGGTCCCGCGGCCTGGCCTGTGGGGATCGGGCCAAAACCGGCAGTCTGACATCCCCCCGAGAGGTCCTGGAGTGCAAGAGGGCACTCTGCAAAGTTGCTGTTGCTCAGCAGCTCCTGCATTGAGTATCTGCCCCCTGGTGGTCATTGCACATCATAGCTACCGGCTGGTCAGCTGGTCGCTTAGGCTTTTATATATATAGATAGATGATTCAGATGGCATGATTAGCTTTTAATATTTCATTAGAATACCTGGTATATTTTCTGTAGGAATACAATTTTAATATCTGCCTAATATGACTGAAATATTTTTTTCTTAGTCTTTTTCAGAACTTTTTGTTAAATTTCTAGAAACAGAATCTCATCCATCTATTCCACCACCAAAGCTTTCTGTTCATGATATGAAACCACTAGACTCACCGAGAAGGAGAAAACTAGATATAAATGTACCGGAAAGTTTTAAAGGTAAAACCAGATATTTATTTATTCAACAATTTAAGAAATGAAATGTTTAAGTTTTGATTATGTTTTACAGTGATATTAACTAAATTTTTAATGTTTTTGAAAATGTGCAGTGACTTCTAAAATTCCAATAAGACATTATATTTTGGTTTCATACATTCTGTGGTAACCTGATATTTAATTTGGTTTAGATTAATTTAAAAAATATGTAATATTTTTTTCTTTGTATATTGGTGTCATTGTTTTCTCTCTGTATAAGCCACTTTGAATTACTCTTCTTGGAAGAGGTGATTAAATGGTAAGCCTTTGTTTGGGCACCTGTTTTCCTTTCTCACTCATGGTACTTATTTCTTTTTTTTCTTTTTTTATATTTTATTGATTTTTTACAGAGAGGAAGGGAGAGAGATAGAGAGTCAGAAACATCGATGAAAGAGAAACATCGATTAGCTGCCTCCTGCACATCTCCCACTGGGGATGTGCCCGCAACCCAGGTACATGCCCTTGACCGGAATCGAACCTGGGACACTTCAGTCCGCAAGGCCAACGCTGTATCCACTGAGCAAACCGGTTTTAGCCATGGTACTTATTTCTAATCAGAGAAGTGTAGTTTATAGTTAGAGAAAGATTTTTTTTTTCCCCTGTGAAAATCTGTTATGCTCAATACCCCAACCTTGGTATATTAATAGTATTTATAAGAGTAGTTTAATAAACTGGCTTAAATATCCAAGAATGATAGGAAGCATTCTTATATGTTGAAAGATGTGCCTAGAAGCAAGTAGTTTGGCCATACCACAGTAGGTGTGTGTATGTGTGTGTGTATTTTTTTAATCTTTGCCCGAGGATATTTTTCCCATTGATTTTCAGAAAGAATGGAAGGGAAGAAGGGGGCAGGGTGGAGAGAGAGACATCAATTGGTTGCCTCCTGCAGGGCCCCAGGGATAGAGCCCACAACTGAGGTATGTGCCCTTGACCAGTAATTGAACCCACAATTCTTTGGTTCATTGGCTGACACTCTAACCACCTAGCCAAAGTGGCCAGGACTGTGTACATAATTTTTTATTCCACTAGTTTATAAGGATTTTATTTATATCCATATCCCCTATATTAGCATGCAGTATAATTTCTTGAGTTGAAATTTAAATACAACCTTTAAACTACAAAAAGATTATTTACTGTAAGGTCCCTTTTTCCCCCTGAAATTTTTATATTTTAATACAAACTAACATGTTTGCTAGTGGAACTGTAAAGGTACATATCTATACTAATAAAAGGATAATATGCTAATTAGACTGGACAGCCAAACGACCTTCCAGACGTCATTCCGGATGTCCTTCCAGACGAAGCTGTGGCGGCGGGGGCCAAGGCAGAGGCAGTTAGGGGCAATCAGGCAGGCAGGCGAGCAGTTAAGGGCAATCAGGCAGTCAGGCAGAGGGGTTAGGGGTGATGAGGCAGGCAGGTAGAGTGGTTAGGGTCGGTCAGGCAGTCAGACATCCCCCAAGGGTCCCGGATTGCGAGAGAGTGTAGACTGGGCTGAGGGACACACCCTCCCAACCCTCCCAACCCCCTTGTGCATGAATTTCGTACACTGAGCCTCTAGTACAGCAGTTTCTAGTACAGCAGTTCTCAACCTGTGGGTCGTGACCCCTTTGGCAGTCGAATGACCCTTTCACAGGGGTTGCCTAAGACCATCCTGCATATCAGATATTTACACTACGATTCATCACAGTAGCAACATTACAGTTATGAAGTAGCAACGAAAATAATTTTATGGTTGGGTCACAACATGAGGAACTGTATTTAAAGGGCCAGAAGGTTGAGAACCATTGCTCTAATATGTTATAATCATATCACATGTCAGATGCTAAATTTTGAATAAGATATTAAATAATTTATATTTTGAAAATTTAAAAACTTGCTTAGTCATTTAAACAAAGTTATATTTTCCTCAACTTTTATAGAAAAAGGAAGTGGTAAAATTTATTTGTTGCTTAGATAAAAGTTTTGGCTGCTAAATTTAGTGAAAAGTCTTAATTTTAACAGATGTAGACTGTACCAAAAATACTTTTTCTTGTTACACTAGGTTGTAACATCATAAAGAGGATTCCAAAATTCATTATGACGGGGTCTCCCTCTCTTTTACCCCTTCTCCCCTCAGTCTCTTCCCCCTCCTCCCTCTTTCCTGCTCTCCTCCATTCACTTATAAGTCCTGCGTCAGTTCGGTTTGTACTAATTAGACCCAAAAGCCCCTGATGTTCTGATTGCTCTAGAATTCGCAGGATTAAAGTTTAGTCTTTGATCCTGGATTTGTTGTAGTGTGGGAGCAAAAAAAATACTTTCCTCCCACCTTCTAAGTTCTTCTATCTGAACTAATAAATTAACAGACAAAATAACAGGAGAAAATCAAATTTTTAATATATGTGCATGGGAAAGGGGCTCACATACACATGAGAATTCCAAAGACAGGCAGCATTGGATATATATGAAATTTTGGACAACGGAGAAAGCGGGGACCGGAAGCGTTCTGAGATTTCAGAAGTGAGAATGGGCAGGTAGTTGAGGAAGAGCAGAGCACCCGTGCAGGGAAATCCTTGCTCAGCGACCAGATACATTGGGACGTGGTGGGCATCTAGCTAACAGGCCCGGCCCCAAGTCCTCCTGTTACCACACGCAGTCCAGGCGGGCCGCGGAGGCCAGCTTCCGGAGCGTCCGTGCCGCAGTCCGTCTCTCCCTCCGAATCTCCTAGGCAGGGAAGGGGAGGCCCAAAGTTCCTTTCTGAGTCTTAATTGCCCCTTAAAAATCAATGTCCTAAGAGGTAAAACTTTGTTCCCCTTCAATAGTAAATTAACTTTATCAGTTATGAAACTTGTATTTAAATGTAAAACGACAGCATTATTGTGTTTAATGAAGTATTAGTTACACATTCAAGTATCCTTCTGTCCCGTTTCCTTTCTCCCATTTCTTTCTCTGTCCTTCTACTAGTATATTTCATAGACCCTACGTATCGGATCCAGAACCCAGCAGCATATGAATTAAATTTATTTAGGGGCCAAATGTTGGAACCTAAAACACTTGTGTAGTGCTGATTAAATAACATACAGGAGACTAAGTAATTCACATTTTGTCATTTAGATACGACAGAACCCAGGCCTGGGAGAAGAACAGATGTGAGTCCGTTCTTGGCTCCCCGCTCTGCGGCCGTGCCTCTCATGAACCCGGCTGGCCTTGGGCCTGGGGGGCCTGGGCACCTCCTTTTGAAACCCATTTCAGACGTGCTGCCCACGTTTACGCCTTTGCCAGTGTCGCCTGACAACAGTGCCGGGGTTGTGCTGAAGGACCTTTTGAATCAATAGATGACTCTCAAGCCAGAGACGACATGCACAGCACTTTAGAGAAACACTAAATGTATGTACTTTATCACGAAGTGGCCTTTTGGAAAAAGTCATGTATTTGTTTGCAGTTGTACTTTCTCTGAATTTAATAAAAATATTTGTATTGTTTTTAGAAATTGCAGGTGTCACAGGAGGAAGTGTTTGCTATATATTTTTTTCCTTCTCTGTTTTAACCTAATTCAGGCTAGAAACATTTGATTTTTTAATCTTAACTTATGGAAGTAAGTAAAATAAAAGTAGCTATATATCAGGTTTTGATTTCTTCCTCTGATTTTCAAGTTAATTTAGGCTAGTTGAGACATGTGGTTGTCTTTTAAAGATAATCATGAGATTTACCCAAAAAAGAAAGAAAAAGAAAAGGAAGAAGAAATAATAACTGTGGCTTATATGCATAGTGCAGAAAATTGACCTGAAGTGTATATTAATCATCTTTATAGAGGATTTTGTGTAGACAGGACAAGAAAAGGTTGCCCCTGGGAGGACTTAGGTGTCTTGAGGTGGAATGTGTGTGTATTTTGTTCTATGCAACTTTATCACATGTGTAAATCCATGTGACCACCACTACAGAACAGATACATCAAGAACCCCTCGTGCTACCCTTTTTACAGTCATAGCCACCTCCTTCTTTAGCCCCTCCCCAAACTTCTGGCAACCACTCACTATTCTCCGATTTCTGTAACGTGCTATATAAATGGAATCCATAGGATGTAACCTTTTTGAGATTGACTTTTTCACTGAGTGCAATGCCCTTGGAAATCTATCCAAATTATTGCGTGTATCAGCCTTTCTCTTTTTGTTGTCAAGTGCATACTATGGGCATATGATTTGATTTTAAGAGGTAAGGTGTCTTTTTAAAGTTATCATCTTAAAGCTACTTGTTTTTTCACACCTATATATACAACTTTCATGTAAGTGTTAAATCATACAGCTGCATTTACAGAACTATAATGAGCAATATCACTAAACACGGCCCCTCCTTCCTCTGTCTGAGATGTCCATGTGACAGGCATGTTAGTCCAGGAGTTGTCCACTTGCATCCTCACGGTCACCGAGGGCAGTGGAATTACTTTAGCAACACCAGCATCAGGTGTTTGGAACTTAAGAATAAGGGAGTATTTCTTTAATTTTTTTATAAACCTATCATAAAAAAATCCTGGCTTGGAACTTAATCAGGATGTTCATGTTTGTATAAGTTGTTGAAGTTGTATATTTAAAGACATTTCTTGCAAATTTTGTAAATTTCACTATGCCTTTAAAATAGAAACATCTATATAACAAAGAAGGGTGGAAATGATATTGATCCAAATATGTAAATAGTTCTGGCTCCAGCCAGGGCTAAATTTGATCATTTGTAAATTTTGCTGTGATTAACTGTATACTTTCTACTGTATTTAGAAGCTTGGAAGTCTTTATGTGTTGATGGGTGAAACTGGTGTTTCTGAGGAATTCAGTAACCGAGACATTGCTGCTTCACAACGTCCTGTCTCCTTAGCTAACTTATTTATATTGCCATTCTTTATTTAGTGTGCCTAAAGGAAGTGGTCATCCAGTTCTATATTAGAACTGCCAAACTGCCTCCTGTCTGTTTTGCCCATTATTTCTCTTATAAAATTATTACCCTTGGGATCCTTTCAAAGATACTTTCACTGACCAGTCTAAATTATTTGCTGCTTGCCATTGAAGTTTCATTTCAGTGTGGAGCATCTGAAATAAAAATTTCTAAGTTAAAAAAAAAAGACACATGATCCTTCATTTTGAAGAAATAGAAAATGCATAGAGTTTTTCTCTTATAATTTGAGAATTAAAATTTAAGTAGTGGGTATTTAAGTATCATGTCATCGTATTTTAAATGCCTTTCATGACAATTTAAGTATTTCCTTCCCTATTCAAACAGCCTGTCTCTCTTCACCCCATAGTTTAACATAAGTTTGAAAGCTATTATGGGCATACAGCATGACCTTACATGGCTGCTGTTTAATTATGTGACCTCGAACTGAAGCTGTAGTACCTAATGTTTCAGCTGTATCATCATTGAAACTATAGCTGCCTGGTATGCATACTAAGTGTTTGTTGATCTAAACCAGACATAACTCATCTACTTTCCTGAAACTAAGTTGTGTCAGAGATGAACCATCTGCTCAAGGAATCTTCTTAGTAACCAGCCATACAATGAGGAAGCATATAATTCTAATGTCAGCAGTAGGACATTTCTAACAATAATTTACTGCAGTCGTTTAACGACAGTAATTTTACTGTTTACTTCTCTGCAAACTTACTAGGATTTGTGGTTGAATTTTGCTTTAGCTGCCACAGTTTTTCACAACATTCCTAATGGTTTTCAACTGCTAATACTATAATAGAAAATCCAGCCAGACATTGAATTTGATTTAGTACAATTCTGTATCATATGGCCGTTTGAATTTTAGTTCCTGCCATTATTTATTTAAAAGAAAAAAAAATGGGGAAAGAATTTAATTCTTTAAAACCGCCACTTAAAATATTAAATATCCCCCCCAAATAAAACCTCCAGTTTATTTTAACCATTCAATGGTTAATCAAAAGGGAGAAAAACACTTTTAAAATAACTTATTTGATCATTAGGTGGAAAATATAAAAGTGTCCTCAGGGACAGGGGAGGGATGAGAATACTTAGAGCTATTATGTATCAAACTTAGAGCATTTGAATTTGATTTAAACCTAATGAAGTTTTTCATATATCAAAGTATTTAAAGCGTCTTCCATCAAAAAATTTAATTCTGTAAATATCAAGTCAGTTATACTTGATATTTATTTTATATATTCCTATGGAAAAAGTAAAGACACTCTTAATGTTCTGACATTTGTGATTATTTGCCAGTGTTTACTTTTTAACTTATTCAGGTTTCTGTACTTAAAATTGATCAATTGTCTTGATTTTTAGGGAAATAACTAAATAGGGGGAATTTACAACCCAACTATAGTATTGGGTTGTGTTTTATAGAACTAAAGTCAATGCATTTCTGAATTTCTCAGGAGCGCTGCAAGGCAAAAAAATACTCCGAATAAAAATGATATATGTGAGCTGGCAATGTCTTCGTCCACAATAAAAAAAACAAAACAGATTTCTTAGCAAACAGCTGCTGGCTTTTTCTTTGGAAGGGGGAGGAATGACTTACACGTGTTGTTTATAGCAGCCGTTGGTCAACTACTGAAGCTAATGTCTTCAAGTGCTCGCCGGATGTCTGCTGTGAGGATAGTGTTTGAGCCTTGGAAATGTTAAGTATGAACAGTTCACAGAGGCTTGACATAAGATAACGCAGGAAAAGAGGATCTGAGAGGCTTCAGCCAGCCGGTTCTGAGGTGATATTATGCATCATCTGGCCTTCGTGTTTCTGCAAGATGATCGTCAATCCTGTCTTCGTTTTTCTTAGATGTGGAACTTGAATCATTTTAACTGTTCGTGTGATGGCAGCATTGGAAGGAACATGGGTTTTTAAGTTGGGAGGTGGCTTCTTTTGACTTTTAACAGCATTACTTTGATGGAATTGATTTTTCTCATCTCAAATAACCTAGGCCAGTGGTCGGCAAACTCATTAGTCAACAGAACCAAATATCAACATACAGCAATTGAAATTTCTTTTGAGAGCCAAATTTTCCGTGTCTCCCGTTGCCTGACCCACCACCACCACCCCCCCCCACACTTCTTCTAACGCCACTTCTTCAAAATAGACTCGCCCAGGCCAAAAACTGACTTCTGCACATGGGCCACAAAGTTTCAATCGCCCTGTACATGCGAGCCCGCACATGGTATTTTGTGGAAGAGCCACACTCAAGGGGCCAAAGAGCCGCATGTGGCTGGCGAGCCGCGGTTTGCTGACTACTGACCTAGGTAGTAAGCTTATGGGGTTGTAAGTATCAAATGATGCATTCATTCATAGTATTTATTAAATGATAAATGTACCACTTGTGGAAATGCTTTATAAAATCTAGTTCTATACAGATGTCAGAACTCGAGATTATTATTGCCAAAAAGGGGGTAAGCATGTCAGATGTGGGGGTGTTGCCAAAGCCAAGAATTATTTCAAGAAGGTGGGAGAGGTCAGAAGTGTGGAGTGCTTGCTGCTCTGGTGAGATAAGCTTGGATTCTGGGACCAGGGAGTTGTTGGATTTGACTTAGTGTTGGTGGAATGGTGGGAGGAAAAGCCAGGCGTGAGTTGAGTAGGTGGTGAGCAATTGGAGATAAGTGTTTGTAAGCAGCTCTTCTGAGAAATTACATTGTCAAGGGGAAGGAGGACACTAGGCAGAGAGAGGAGAGTGGGGTGGAGGGAGAATTGGTTTAAGTTGGGAGGCTTAAGCATGTACAGATCCTTACAGGGTGAAGAGAGTGGAGAGAAGAGTTCCTGAGAGGGAGCTGATAGCACCCGAACGCAGGGGAGGCATCGGCCTTGCATAGAAAGACTCCTCTCCTGGCACAGACGGAATGGAAGAGGGGGATGCAGATAGCAAATGGATTCGGGTAGTTGTGGGAATTTCTTCTGTGAGATGGGCAGGGAGCTTCATGGGCTAAAAATGAGGGGTGCGACGAGGGTCTGAGGCTTGAGAAATTCAGTCTAGTGGGAGAGAGAGACTTGTGTCCACATTGCTAGAGCAGTGAGAGGTGCTGGGGAGCCCTGGGTTGGCCCTGGCAGGCAGATGGGAGGGGGCTGTGGTGGTTAAAGGAAGTAAGCTAGCAAAGTTAATGTCCAGCGGTCCTTGCCCCAACCAATTCTAATGGAACGCAAAATGTTACTTATCTGAACTTGTTTTCCTGTCCTTGGGGCTTAGGCCATGTGAATATATGATATGATATGATGGAAGGTTTTACAGCATGTGATTGTCATAATTTAATACATCCAGTAAATAATAATCCTTTATAAACACACCAGTATTTCCTTTGGAGATAAAGGAAAATTCAAGAATGTTAATAAACGGATCACTTAAGGCAGATGTTTGACCCCTTAGTTTGTTTTCTGCCTTGGCTACTACTGTGCATCAAACTTTTAGCCCTTCTGGGGTTAAGAAATTAATAATTCGCGTTACGATGATATTTTAACTGTGATCACTTTCAGCTGTGGCTGTTTTTACAAGAGTTACTCCCCTTTTCAGCTCTAACATTCTTTGACTTCAGTGAACTATTTCTGACCCTCAAAAATTAAATCTCAGTGATTGAAAATATTTGTGAACTTAATGAGCTTGGTGAAGTTGTTTCCTAGTTTTCCTTGGGCTGTTAAAAATGTAATTCGTTTTTGCAAAATATGAGGCATTTAAATGTGGAAGGACTAACACTGTGAGAAGTTTTTCTCTAACAATGGTGAGTCAATGTATATTCTTGAATGAATTCATTTCCCAAAGGGCAAGGCCCATTCCAGATGGTGAAGGCAAACATGATTTCTTTTAAAGAAAAGAATTGGAAGCAAAGTAACACAGCTTTGCTCTAGGTTTCCAAGCAGCTCTGTCCATTTAAGCATATTTAAAGCACCACGGTGTCATCTGTGAGTTAACCATTCATCCCTGTCTAAAAGGCAGTTCCAGGCCCTCTCCATTAATAAAAAATGGGGTGATGGTGATAAAGTTACACATTCTAGACTAATGAGGTAATTTTTTATTTTTGAAAACGTATATGGAATGTGTAGCCTTTGAACATTTTTGGAATCGTTTCAAAGTCATCTCCCTAAAGCATTTGGCATGCCTCGCACATGCAGGCTCCCCGCTCGGATAGTCTGGATGTATGCATGCAACCCGCGGCGCTCTTCAGGATCACACTCACCAACTGGCGCTCCCGTGTTGAAAAGAACTGATGGTTGAAATCAGTTCTCCATAGAGTTGCTACTTGAGGAATAGATTTCCATTTTTTAAAGTGTTTTCACTCTTAATTTTTTTCCTTGAGACATTAGTTTTACCTGGAAGTAATTTTACTTCTGCTTTCATCCTTTATTTGTGGGTTTCAAATATTTCAATCATTCAAGAATAAACAAAGGGGTATTAGGAGGGACGGACATCTGGCCATGGTAGGGTGAAGAGGTCAGCCAGTCCTCCCTGCAAAAAAACAAGTATATAACAAAAATGGTGAAAGACAAGAAATTGAAAATGGTTGAATTTTTAAAACCATCTATACTCTATAGAGCAGCGGTTCTCAACCTGTGGGTCGCGACCCCTTTCGGGGTCGAACGACCCTTCCACAGGGGTCGCCTAAGACCATCGGAAAACACATATATAATTACATATTGTGTTTGTGATTAATCACTATGCTTTCATTATGTTCAATTTGTAACAATGAAAATACATCCTGCATATCAGATATTTTACATGACGATTCATAACAGTAGCAAAATTACAGTTATGAAGTAGCAACGAAAATAAATTTTTGGTTGGGGGTCACCACAACATGAGGAACTGTATTAAAGGGTCGTGGCATTAGGAAGGTTGAGAACCACTGCTATAGAGCTGCAGGTAAGAACCACTGGAGTCTGTAGCTTCCTGCCTGGGGCTCCCCGACTCCGGTCAGCCTGTCTGAAAACCAGTAGCTTTGTAGCCTGAGGGCATGAACTCCATGGAGTGGGGTGGAAGCTGAGCAAAAACCATGACTTGGCCAGTTAAAAGTGGTGAACTTGGAAGGAAGCCTGGAGAAAACTCAGCTCTGCTAGGCTGAGGTTGCAACGCCAGGTGGGGCAAGTGCTGACCAGGGGAATGTAATGAGGAGCTGAGAAAGCCATGGCCCGGGAGAACCAAGAGAGCCCCATGAGAAGACAGCCTCAGCCACCCAGAGCCTGGCCTGTATTTTTCAATCTGCACCCACACCCATCAGCCGCAGACGGGAGCCACAGGGACTCTGGGTGTCTAATGAGCACAGCCTCCTGCTGACCAGTCCTGCAGCAGCAACCTCTGGGAGGCCAGAGTGAAAGATTAAACTAAGAATGTAAAACCAGCAGAGACATCAGCAGCCACACTCTCCTGCAGGGAAGACAGATTCCTCAGTTTAAATCCAAATGTTAGCCTGAGCTGGTTTGGCTCAGTAGATAGAGTGTCGGCCTGCGGACTGAGGGTCAAGGGCATATGCCCTTGTTGTGGCCTCGATCCCCAGCGTGGGGCATGCAGGAGGCAGCTGATCAATGATTCTCTCATCGATGTTTCTATCCCTCCCTCCCTCCTTTCCTCTCTGAAATCAATAAAAATATATTATAAAAAACAAATCCAAATGTTAAAATCAGAGAAATACATCGCAATCAGTAGTTGCTACACGTAATCTAAATTGTCCAGACTTCAACCAACAACGATGAGTAATGCAAAGAAGAAAGTGTGACCCGTACTCAGAAAAGAAGCTGTCAAAGAAACGGTGGGTCTCCATGTTGGATTTAGCCCACAAGAACTTCCCTGCTGTGAATCATAAATGCAAAAATTAAAGTCTGTTCACAGGATACCGAGTAATCGCTGTATGTTCATTACCCAGCTTCGTCAAATCCTAACATTATGCTGTATTTTCCAAAAAAATGTTTTTAAACCTTTTATTAGAGGAAAATTTGAATGTAGACACAAAAGTATAGAAGGTAACAATGTACCCATGTACCCATCATCTGCTTCAATGATGAACAACTCAGGATGACCAACTCTCATTGCATCCTGTATACCAGCCACTTCCCCTTTTAATTTTGGAAGCATTTTCCCATAACTTGTCTTAACATTGTAATGAGCCAATCTTCTTACTTTCTGTAAGACAGTAGAGATGGTCACATAATGTATGCCTCTCCTGTCCCTGAACTCTACAGGAATATTGTTGAAATCTGACATCCCATCTGGATACATAGAGAAGCTTACAAGGTCTCTCCTTCATGTGATGTTAAAAGTTCTTTCTTTTATGCAACATGGTAATATGCTATATGATAGTTGTAATTTTTTTTTTATTTGGCAGAATTAAAAGTTGACAGCATAACCCTGGCCAGTGTGGCTTAATTGATTGGGTGTTGTCCCATGCAGCAAAAGGTTGCCAGTTCGATTCCTGGTCGGGGCACATGCACGGG